TTCAGTTTGAGTGCATAGAGCTGAAGGTATCTAATTAACTACATTAGCATGAGACTAATATATCCAAATTGTGCAACTAACTTAATTGGAGAGAAGATAAAGTTTTTAAGTCCCATTTTCAAGCAAGTGTCTACCTTAATTCCCAGTCATTGAAGGGATTCTCCTTATTTATACAAGCTTGTCCTTCTATGATACAGGTCAGCAATCAGTTGCTTTACATCTATGAAGCATTTACAGAGAGCCCAGTAAAACTTAAATATATTCAGGATTTTTTAAATTTTTTTTTATTTCTGTTACCCAACAATGTTAGCCTTTCACACACATGTATCAGACCTTTTCTTAGCTTTTCATTATTTTAATAATCTAATCTATACTATGAATGTTCCATATGTAATTTTCAGAAGCTCAGTATAATGAAGATCCATTCTGTTACCAAAAAGTCTTCCCTCTACTATAGAAAGCATATAAAACTTTATTTGTAGCATTTATCACAAGAATTATTTTACAACAAATTTTTACTGTAATTTTATGTCCTTTAGCTATTTTTAATGGTTGAATGATCATATTTATATCATGAATAATTACTTTTCTGCTAAAAAGAGTAAGACAAAGTTTTAAAAAATGGATGTCCTGGGCTCATCTGGGATAAAGTTATTTTTTTTTGTAGCAGCAGACACAGTGCTGTGTTGTGGATTTACTCTGAGAACAATGTTGATAACACATCAGTGTTTTATCTGTTGCTAAATAGTGCTTACCCTGATCAAGGACTTCCAGTGTCTCGTGCTCTGCCAGTGAGGAAAGGCACAAGAAGCAGAGATAGGACACATGACCCAAACTAGCCAAAGGGATACTCCATACCACAGAATGTCATACTTTGCTTATAAACTGGGGGAGTTGTCTTGGAGGGGCCAGTTGCTGCTCAAGAATGGGTAAGCAACTGTACTGTGAATTGCTTGGGTTTTCTGAATTTTATTCATCTTCCTCTCTTTTTCCCATTATTGTTATTAGTGTTATTATTATTTATTATATTTAACTTTATTTTAATTATTAAGCTGTTGTTATCTCACAGGTTTTACCTTTCTCCTATTCTCCCTATCCCAACAGGGCTCGGTAGAGAGGGGAGTAATGAGTGAGCAGCTGAGCGTTACCGAGTTACCGGCTGGGCTGAAACCTTGGCAAGGAACAAAGAAAAGGTCATCACTCCTAAAGACCTAGGCTGTGGAAAATTTCAGCCCATACAGTAAACTCAAATGGCTGAGAACAGCAAGAATGTAAACACTGCCATTTTTTTAAATAACATTTGATGATATTCATGCTATAATTATGCAGTAGTTTGTGTGTGGTTTTGTTTGTTCTTCTTGCTGTAAGTGAGGAAATAAAGATTCCAGTTGAATATCTTCATCAGAAGTTACTTTCATCAAGCTCAGTATGCCCTCTGAAGACTCTGAATGTTGAATTCTTACCCTACACTAAACAAAAATACAATCAAATGCACAATTAATTAAAAACTGAATAAACGCAGTAAATAGTCATTCTTAAATGATGCAGCTAGGATAACCGTGCTATCACCTGGATTTTATAGCCCCGTGCAGTTATTGGCATGTAAGATGGTACATCCCATTCATGTACGAGCAATTGTGTTCTGCCTTTAAAAGGCTCTAATTTATTATCCATTAGTAAAACCAAATAGCCACTATCTGAGTACCAGACTGCACATGCTGAAGTAGTAGCTAAAATAGAATTTGAAACTGCTAAACTAAACAAACACCCAAGTGGAACAACTACTATATAGTAATCAGTGCAGTGTGAGACCTGATCTGGGCTGATCAACTGTATTTTTCCTATATATTACAGAGAACAAAGAAGACATGCTAAGTATGGCATGACCATAGCAAAACCAAAAGCTATTCCTTCTGTGAAATTCTATTATTACGCCCTGTTTTTAGTGGCTCATTAATTTTTTAAATTATCCATGTCTTATCTCTCCATAGAAGTGCTTTTTGTTTTTTATGCTTGACCAAATTTGACTTGTTCCTCTTAGAGAATAAGAAAAAAGAAAGGGAAGGGGCAGAAGTAGGAGAGGAAAAGGAAAATGAAAAGGAAAAGGAAAAAGGGAAAAGGAAAAAAAAAAAGAAAAAAGGGAAAAAGGAAGAGAAGGAAGAGGCAGGGGAAGGGAAAGAGGAAGGGGAAGGGTAAGAAAAAGGAAGGAAGGAAGGAAGGAAGGAAGGAAGGAAGGAAGGAAGGAAGGAAGGAAGGAAGGAAGGAAGGAAGGAAGGAAGGAAGGAAGGAAGGGAAAGACAGAGTGAGGGAGGGAGTGAGGGAGGGAGGGGGGAGGGAAGGGGGGAAGAGGGGAAGGAAAGGGGGAAGGGGGAGAAGGGAGGAAGGGAGTGACTAAACAGAGAGGGGGAAGAAAGGAGAAAAAGAAAGGTAATTTGAGTGCCATAACTGTAAATTGGTTTGAGTAAAAAAATATTTTGCAATGGAAGGGTATTAGACCTCATTTATGGAGAAATGCTTTTCTTAAAAGCAGAAATAGATGAAACTGTTTCTGATATCAGTGACTAATGTTTTGGTACATGCTCATCATGTTCTTTTAACAAAACAAAAGTCCCATGCTGGCCAAGATTCATAGTTTGACTGTGTCATGGTTTAAGCCCAGCCTGTCACTCAGAAACCACGCAGCTGTGTGCTCACTCTTCCTCCTCCTGCTTCCTGAGGGATGGGGAGGAGAATCAAAAGAATAACTCCCACAGGTTGAGATAAGAACAGTCCAGTAACTAAGGTATAACACAGAACCAGTGCTGATACCACCAATAATAATAATAATAAGGGAAAGAACAAGGGAAGAGAATACAACCGCTCACCACCTGCTGACCGATACCCAGACTGACTGAGCAGTGATCTAGCCCTTCTGAGTAACTACCCCCAGTTTATATACTGGGCATGATGTGCTGTGGTATGGAATTCCTCTTTGACCAGTTTGGGTCAGGTGTCCTGTCTCTGCTTCCTCCCGGCTTCCCCTCCCCCCCGGCACAGCATGAGACTCAGAAAATCCTTGGTCAGACTAAACATTACTAAACAGCAACTAAAAACATCGGTGTTATCAGTGCTGTTCCCAGGCTGAAAGTGAAAACCACAGAACTGCACCACCTACTAACAAAGACAAAAAATGACCGCTACTGATGAACCCAGGACAGACTATCTGTGTACCTTAGGGATAATTCCCACACTTTTCGTGTCCTACATGATAGATTTTTATAGCACTTTCTCCTCTTGACATTTGAAGAGATACCAAGGAGAGCCACAGAGTAAGCTGTCAGAGGCAGTACAGAAGCCAGAGCCCTCCACCAGCCCTTCAAAACACTTACAAATTTACAATATAATGAAAGGACTCAGGCCAAATCTAGGGAAATAAATGGGTCCCTGCTCTGGAATTCAGTCATCTGTAATGTTAAATTGTCAGAGCAATCATGGTTTGGCCTGATTTTGACTTGAACCATCCAGCAACGACCCAGCAATACTGGGCACCATTCACCATTTTCAATTGCCAGTTTCTAAGGAGGTAAGCCACTACTGGAATTCCATAATACAGACATTGTGAAAGTATGCCAGATGCCCTCAAATCCCATGAATGGATATTGTTTCTTATTTCTTTGTTATATTGTTTCTTATAACTATTTTAAATATGGAACTGGATTGATTTTGGCAATGGATTGTATAACATTTGTAATCCATTGTATAATATTTGTAATCCATGTGTAACATTGTAATCCATTTGGCAATGGATTGTATAACAAAACGACTTTGTTATGTTTTCCCTTAATAACAGAGAACAGGATTCAATGGTTCAGGCCATCCACCACAGATCTATGCCCTTCTTATGCCACAGAACTTGTTAAAAACAAACACCTTCATATGTCTTTCAAAAAATACATATGTCATCCTGTGCTCTGCTGGATGTCATATATGTATATGTATATATATGTATACATACATATACACACAAACACCATACATATACATAAACACATTCAAACACCACTCCTCCCATAGCAGAGGATACCAAAAGGCATTACTTGGTATCACTGGAAATAACACAAGGTTTCATCATGCGGCAGACTACTCTTCCTTTATTCTGCCTTTTTCTTGTGTCTCTTTTCCCTATTTATGCTTCTCTCTGACTTTTTCAACTTTATTATTCTCCTCTGTTTCTTGTTTTATGGTTGTTGGTTTTTTTCTCCTTTCAGTAAAGTATATCAGCCAACTGGTAACACAAACATCCTTGGGCAAGTCAGGCATGGGCACCATCCAACAGAAGGGAGACAGGCTTATATTCGCAGTAAGCATCAACCTCTGTTAAAGCAAGATGAACACTACCTTCATCCCACACAAATACCTTACCAAAGAAAATTAGAAGTGCTTCCACACATAACTTATCCTAACATGACCTAATGTAACAAAACCCCCAAAGGTGAAATACAGGCTATAGTTTTAAAGAAAGACTTTTTAATGTTTTATTTATCATATTCCAGCTTCCTCATCTCAAGTAAAGACAATTTTAACCAAGGACACTACTTCATGAGTGAAGCAAAGCAGCTCTCTCTTCACTGGTGGCTTTCAGTGGTTTTATCTGGACAGATGCACGGTTAGCAAACAGGGACAGCAGATAAAAGGGACACCTCACCCCAAACCATTCTGGTGCAGCCCCTTTCTATTACAAAGAACGGCAGAAATCTGTTTCTTTCAACAATTAAGGATGGGATTTTACTCTCTGACATCCCTTTGTGGCAGTGACTCTGACAGACTGGTTTAGAATAGAGTGTAAATCTACTTATTTCTTTGTGTCAATCTAATATAAAATTCATTCCCCTGGTCATGCATTGACTAGGTCAAATAAGATCAAATGTCACAGAATAGAATCAGAGCATTTCAACACAGAAACAGCAAAACCATAAAAGTTTTCCGTACCATGAAGACCTACTCAAATACTTTAATCTTACCTCCCTGAGAGGATCATTTAGCTCATTCAAAATGTTTTCTTCATCAAAGATCTTGCCTTGGTAGCGGTGCTCATAGTAATCATGAATCTTCTGACGCATTTCAGCTGGTAACTTGTGAAACGACATGTACTGTTCCACTTGTTTGTACTGTCAGGACAATAAAAGGACAAGTCAGAAAAATATGAACTTTTTTACTTTATCTAAAGGCATCTACAAAATGAAAATTCATTCATATATCCACTTAAGCTTTACATATTTTATAAAGATAACATTTTATTAATGTCAGAGAACCCTCACAGAACCCTCACAGAAATATTGGTTAATTTAATATCGCTCACTGGTAGCATGACTATAAGCCACAGAAACTGCCTTTAGTGGTGATACTTGATACTAATATCCACATTAAAATATAAGTTTTAGAAGCCAAACCCTCACACTTGTCATGTGTCCCATAAATTCCCATCTATTCCGAAGCTGTGAAAGTACAGCAGCACCAATTTTAGCTCGTTCTGTGCAGCAGATAGGGAACCTGTACAGAGTATCCACATCTCTAGTGCTGCATTAAGAGAGAGTTTAAGCTGTGAAATTTCAGAAGCTGGTTATGCTGCATTAATATGTAACATACAATGTTGTGTATGCTTATAAAGTGACTGAAGAACAAAGTTTAAACCTGTGGAGATAATGAAGTAGAAAGCATTTTTCAGAAGGCATGAAGTGAAGTGAACTGGAGAAATAGGCATGGCATTATGAAATAGAAAGATGGGGAACAGACTGATGCTGATGCCAGGACCCAGGAGATTCAGAGGACCTCACTTCATCTGCCTTCTGCCTCTTGTTTTCTTGTTTCTACTAGTCCTCTGCCTTACTTTCTGCTTTGATTGCTTCCCCTTTTCAGAAGCCTTTTTCAATAGCGTAACTTTCAGACACGAAAGTTACAAACTAATGTACTCAGAGTTGAACTGTACTAAAGTGCATAATACATTTGAGCCGACAAAACGGAGAAGTTGCACAAACCACAAATGGACAAAGTATTGCCTAACCAAGACTTTTGCCTCTCAGATACCCTATCCTTAGTGCAGATGATGAGGATAAGGTGCTGAGGCACAGAAGGATAAAACCCCTCCCATGTTTATAGGTGAGGTAAAACTTGGTTTGCTTAGGTAAAGAATCTTAATTTATTTAATTCATTTTTGTCATGCTTAATGAGGCAAGTCTAACTGTATTTGATGGGAAAAAAAACCCCAAGAAAACAAACCAATGAAATCTTAGCATCAGCATCTCTGTAGAGCAATTAGATGAATTTAGAATATACATGCACTCATGTACATGAACTGCAACATATACCCCACATCCTCTAACTTGTACAATTGAAGGTTGCTCCATCCTCTGGAACTGAAATTAGTTTTTGCTTTACAAAGTGGCAAAAGTTTAGATGAGGCCATTTGTACAGCATGCATTCCACAAATAAAAGGAAAGTAATTTTGCATGGGACGATTTAACAATGTATGATGAATATGTAAGTCTGGAGTATTGTGTAAAGTTCTGGTGTCCTCAACATAAAAAGGACATGGATCTGTTGGAACAAGTCCAGAGGAGGGCCACGAGAATGATCAGAGGACTGGAGCACCTCCCGTATGAAGATAGGCTGCTAAAGTTGGGGCTGTTCAGCCTGGAGAAAAGAAGGCTGCGTGGATACCTCAGAGCAGCCTTCCAGTATCTGAAGGGGGCATATAGGGATGCTAGGGATGGACTCTTCATTAGGGACTGTAGTGGTAGGACAAGGGGTAATGGATTAAAACTTAAACAGGGGAAGTTTAGATTGGATATAAGGAGGAAATTCTTTCCTGTTAGGGTGGTGAGGCACTGGAATAGGCTGTCCAGGGAGGTTGTGAATGCTTCATCCCTGGCAGTGTTCAAGGCCAGGTTGGACGAGGCCTTGGGTAATATGGTTTAGAGAGAGGTGTCCCTGCCCATGGCAGGGGGGTTGGAACTTGATGATCTTAAGGTCCTTTCCAACCCTAACTATTCTATGATTCTATGATTTCAGTACAGGTATTCTGCACCTCTGAAGCAAGACTTCCTTGCCTCCATCGTTTAGAAGTGAGAGATTTGTGTGCTTATCATTGCTTTTTGTTCTGATATGGAGAAATTTATCCATACATTGTGGGTTTGAATCTGGGTCACCAGAAGACAGGAGCTCTATCATAAACCAAGTATTGCTTCTAAAATTACCCTACCTATGAGTTACAGCTCATCTAGGCACAGATTTAAATGGAGTAAAGGGACAGCAGATTGCCCAGTGGTCTACATATCTCACCAAGCTGGTCACACAGTTCCAGCAGTTGTGCAGCGCTACAGCTTTTCTGAAGCAAAACAAAGAAGATGCTGCACTGTGCAATGTCCCCTCCAGCCCTTCATTGCTTTGGCTTCATGTATGGATATGGAACACATGTCACGCGTCACAGCAGTCATGGACAGGGAATGGACTTCACTACACCCCTCTATCTGATTTTATTTACATACAAACATGCTTGAGCAATGGCCAATAAAGAGTAATCCTTGCTAATAAAAAATATACATTCATTGAGATGTATAATGCAATGTTGCTGCAAAGTTTTATACCAAATGACCCCGAAGAAGAGAACATTCATGCTAAAAGCAGTTTGCTTTGCCAGCAATTTACCCTGCTTTCTTTAGTGCTGTTATTTAAGTAGGTGCTTTCTCCCATAGAAGCAGTTCTTTTTCCTACCATGAATTATGGTTACACAAGAATTATGCTTACAGATGAGAATTTTAGGAAAGCAAAAAATAAAGCTAGTAGGAATGTAATGACATACACTGCTGTGTCTTAAAATGCCTCTAAATTAATAACACACACAATAATAGGGACAGCTGCGTATTAGCAAAAAATCTACACCAATGGATTTAAAGTCTCCCACAATTCACAGAAACATTTAACCATCTAAAATACTATCAAGGTCTCTTCCATGTCAAAGTATCTGACCCTGTGACTGTCCAGTACAATATCACCATCACCCTGTAATGTATCTTTTCCTAACCTTTCTGAGTGCGATTCTGACTCATATTTTTGTATTATTCATGCTGCTACTACTCCCTTCTTGACATCCTGCCACAGCACTCATGTGAAGTGTTCCCTCAAAACATTTAACTTTTTCTTCAGCATCTGATATCTTTCACTCAGTCCAAGTAATGATTGCTTTTTTATTTCAGAGAAAAGCAAGCTCATTTTTTCAGCTTGCTATATGTTATTGGCAATATTGAGGGTTTCCCAGATTAGCTGTGACTGTAGTGTGTAACATTCCAGCTGCAAAAAAAAAGTGCTATAATGAAGATACAAAAAGAGCAAAATTAGCATGGTCTTCATTTTGTGCAATAAATCACTAATTTGTCCAACTTCATTTTGAAGAATATTTTCTCTGTGGGTACCACACATATCAATAATGGTTAGAAATTGAGATATTTTTCACTTTTAAATAATTATCCTGTTTTTTGCTGGATTTTTTTTTTTTTGTTTTTTTTTCTTTTAACTCATAAAAATGCAAATAACTAACAGAACTGAATTATTTTCTGGGAAAAAAAAAAAGATAAAATTGTCAGTGAAGTTACATTTTTGTAAAAACCTTGTGCTTTTATCATATTTAAAAGAGCTGTAACTGATTCAGAGTCATCCATCAAACATGACAGTTGAACCTGCATCTTCTTATGTGAGTGAAAAAATTTCTTCCTAATAACTATTCTCATCACACTGCATCCTGCATCTTTTCCCTTCTAGATTGAAAATTTTGGTTTTCTTGGGAGTCTTGTTGGTGTTTGGTGGTTTTGTTTCTTTGTTTGTTTTCTCCTTGTCTGTTTTGGTGTGTGAAGAAAAGAGATGTCTTAATTCCACATTCACAAAAGTACCTCTGGAACTTTTCTTACATCTGTGTAAGAGGAAAGAGGACTTTACATTATTGCATTATTGCAGGTTTTTAGCCAGCCAAAGCCACGGCCTTATGAATACAAGCTTTTCAATATGTAAAAGAAAAATTTAATCCTATATAAAAATTAGAAATGTAAACCCAAAGCAGAGATCATATGTAAAATTGCTGAATTAAGCAAGCTCTGTCCACAGTTTAGTTGGGATGAATTCATGAGTATTCTTAAAATGGTTTGAAAATGCTTCCCTGCCATGTGTAAGAAGAATTTAAGCAGCATTATCATATGTGAAGGAGATTTAACTCACTGAGAAGGAGCAGAAAGCTGAGAGGAGGCAATCTGATCAAGATGAAGCCTTTCTAAATAATGAAAATGAAGCAAAGAACCATCACAATTTTGTATGGCTTCTAAACTACATTAGGGTATATAGGTCCTCTGAGTTACTGAGTTTATTCCCGTGTTATTGTAAAACCTCACATCATGCTACTACTTATAAACGAGACATCTCAAGAACAGTTAGACTTTCTCTCTCCATCAGTCTTTTAAGAATATTGTTTCAAGAAGCTTACTGGTCTTATATATATATCTCTGAACCTAATTTAAAATTTCAGTCTAAATGTATGCAGATGCAGTTTAAATCAACTAATTCTTACTGCAAAGTTATCTGGCACCTTGAAAAGCTCTTATCCCTTGGTATGTCTCTCTGGGGTATTTATAGATGGGAATCATGTCTCTTCTCAGCATCATCCAAGTAGTCTATTATACTTTTTGTTCTGAAGACTGCCTACTGGCCCTCTTCGTTTTCATCCCATTCTAGTCTGAGTTAATCTTTCTCCAACTGCAGTTACTAGAATGTACATATTATTTTAGAGGAAATATGACCAATTTCTACTATTATTTCTTTCCCACCTAGTGGAAAGCCAAAATGCATTGAAACGGTTGTTTACAGTCATTCTATGACCAGCTCCATCACTCAGATTCCTCATTTTCTCCTTGCCACTTACAATTGCTGTGCTCCTCCATCTTCCAGTTTATAGCAGCAGCTTGTAACAGTGCCTGAGTCCTTGGATTCTGAATTTCTGAATTTCATCCTATTTCTATTACCTCATCTCCCAAAACTCGACCCATTGCTTCCATAAAGTATCTTGATCTTTCTCTAACATTAGCATCTGAAGTTTTATATCATCATAAACTTCATACCATCGTTGAAC